CCCCCTCCTCCCTCCTCTCCTCCTCCTCTCCTCCTCCTCCTCCTCCTCCTCCTCCTCGGGTCGCCTACGGCCCCGGGGGAAACCGGGCAGGTCCAGCTGAAAGGGGGTGGGGCTGCTGTAGATCTGGGGCGTGCAATTCACCCAGGTGCGCAAACGTATTGCTGGACCTTCGCGTTCAACACAGTTGCCCCAAACCTACTGCACCACGCTGTTTCAGCTGGACCACCTGCTGGGTCAACCGAGTCCTCGGCTCTGGCGTCGAGGTCCGAGTAGATGGGTCCGAGTAGATGGGGCCGGAGGGGCGCGCGGCACAGTGGATGCACCGCCGGTGCGGCTCGACGTGGAGCCCGATTTTCTCCACGCCGACGGCGCCGATGCATCCGCGACGCCGCCGATGCATCGGCGATGCGGAGCGATCCTCCGACCCTATCTGCCCGGACCCCGTCTGGGAGGCCTTCAAGTGTCGAGGCGCCCTCGAAGGCGGACACTTCTAGACCAAGGCTGGACCTAAACGCTGTTTTGCTGAACTTCGGCTTTGTTTTGGCAGGGAGGTACATGAAAACAGGTAGAGCAAAACGATCAACAAAACGACAACAAGACGGAGAACAACGTTTAGGTACAGCCCTGTTCTAGAAATGGGAGCCGCACAGACATACAATCAGGAATCAGGTATACGGGACCGCATCCGAAACACGGTTGATCGTCTCGTGCCCGCAAGCTTACCCGGAGACATATTCCATCTGCTCTGCGCGGTGGCGTTTCCAATTTGGGAGCGTAGTTTCATGGTCGTGGTTTCTGTCGTCGAAGGTATTTACTTGCCCTAAGTGAATGCCTGCCTCCTCTGCGTAGCACCCCGAAGCAAGAGACTGAGGGACTGTAGGATGTCGGCGTCACCCCAACAGACTAATACTATATTTGCGTCGCCCCCCCAGGGGCCATGCGCGCACCGAGAAATTGTTTAGTCCATGTGTCGTGGCGGGCGCTTTCTTGCCACACCGCTGGGGAAACTATACACTCCAAGATGGGTATACTAGATGTTCTGGTCGCACGCGCGCCTACAAGGAGGGCATATAATACTAGTATGTATTCGTGCGCCGCAGAAATGGTATGCACCCAATGCCCTGGATGAGAGCGCCGATGTGTCGGCCCAGCCCCTGCCATTCTCTTGAGCCTGGTCTCGAGTCGGGCATGCCCCAGGAGTATTCAAGAACAGTTACAGAAATGTCCGTTGACGACTCTCGTGATCGTTTGGCTACTTCTGATTATTTGTTGACTATTGTCTGTTCTTTCTTCCAAAATCCGCCTGTAGGAGGACAGAGGAGGAGGTGGAGGAGGAGGAGGAGGACGGGGAGGAGGAGGACAAGGCGGAGGAGGAGGAGGAGGAGGAGGCCCGACCTAAGCCTCGTCGACCAAGGCTGTCGGTGGAGCAGTGCCGGGTCCAAGCCCGAGGCACGGCCTCAGGCGCGGCGGTGCAAGGAAGCCGTGTGGACCCCTCCGGAGGTTCCTGTCTGTGCAGTTTTCCTCCAACGAGGCTCAGCCCCCCACCACGCACACACTCACACACAAACCTTCGCACACACAGAGACAAACACAGGCACAAGCACACAGACAGACAAGCACAACCAGGCAGCCAACCAAGCAAGCAACCAACCAAAGAGCCAGCCAACGAGGCAAGAAGGCAAGCAAACAAACAGTCAACGCATCGAGCAATAATACGCAAGCAAACAACCAAATAATCAAACGAACAAGCAAGCACGCTCTGAGACAACACACAAGCAAGCAAGCAAACAAACGAAACAATAAACCACAAACAGCACACACAACACACAGGCACACACAGACACACACAGACACACACAGAGACACACACAGACACACATAGACACGCAAAGACACACACAACCACACACACAGGCACACACAGACACACACACGCTCACACACACAGGCACGCACGCACGCAAGCACACACGCATACACACACGCAAACACACACACACACACCCGCGTACGCACGCAGGCACGCACGCACGCAAGCACGCACTGAGACACACACACGCACACGCGCACACACGCACACACGCACACACGGACACAGACATATGCACGCACTCGCACACGCACCCACAGACACACACAGATACACGCACACGCAAACGCACGCACACACACACACCAAACACACACACGCACGCACACTCACGCACGCACGCACACACGCAATCACGCACACATACACCCGCATACGCAGGCACGCACGCACGCACGCACGCAAGCACGAACGAAGGCACGCACACTCACACACTGACACACACGCACACACGGACACAGACACACACACACATGCACTCGCACACGCACCCACAGGCACACACACACACACGCACACGCACACGCACGCACACAACACACACACGCACGCACACGCACGCATGCACACACACACACACACGCGCACGCACGCACGCACGCACGCACCCACGCACGCACGCACGCACGCACGCATCCACGCACACACACACACACGCACGCAATCACACAGACACAGACACATACACACAAACACATGCACACGCACACGCACGCACACACACGCACGCATAAGCCCGCATGCACGCACACGCACGCACTCACACACGCACGCACGCACGCACGCACGCATTCACGCACACTCACACACGCGTCAACACACCACAACACACCACAACACACCACAAAACATCACAACACACCGCAAACCACCACACCACACCACAACACGCCACAACACACCACAACACACCCTAACACACCACACCATAGCACAACACAACAACACACAACACCGCACAACACACCACCATACACCACAAAACAACACAACGCATCACAACACACGCACACACAACACAACACACCACAACACACCACAACACAACACACTACAGCACACCACAGCACAACCCAACACAACACGCCACAACACGACACAACAGCACACAATTCCACACAGCACAGTATGCACAACACACACAGCACACACACACACCACACACAAACCACGCACAGCACGCACAACACACAAAACACACACACACACACGCACGCACGCACGCACGCACACACACACGCACAAACACACACGCACGCACAGGCACAGTCACACACACACACACACGCACGCACGCACGCACACACAAACACACACGCGCACGCACACACACAGGAACAACACACACACACACGCACGCACAGGAACGCACACACACACACACACACACACGCACGCACACACAAACACCACCACACACACGCACACACACGCACACGCGCACACACGCACACACCGCACACACACGCACACACGCACACACGCACACACGCACACACGCCACGACACACGCACACACGCACACACGCACACACGCACGCACACACGCACGCACGCACGCACGCACACAAGCACGCATGCACGCACGCACGCACGCACGCACGCACGCACGCACGCACACACAACACACACACGCGCACGCACGCACGCACGCACGCACGCACACACATACACACGCACGCACACGCACACACAAACACACACGCCCACACGCGCGCCCGCGCGCACGCACGCACGCACGCACGCAGCACACACGCACGCACCACAACACACCACAACATACACAACACACCACAACACACCACAACACACCACAACACACCACAACACACCACCCCACACCACAACACAACACAACACAACACAACACACCACAGCACAGCACAACACAACACAACACACCGCAACACAACACACAACAACGCATCACAACACAACACAACACAACACCACACCACACCACACCACACCACAACACACACACACAACACACAACACGCACACACACTCACGCACGCACGCACGCACGCACGCACGCACGCACGCACGCAGCACACACACACATACGCACACACACAGACACGCGTTTACACAGTCACACACACACTCACACACACGCACACACTGGGCGCACGGCCTCGGGTCGGCCACGCTCGCCACCTGGTGGCAATGACCCGTGCGCTCACGCAGGATGCGGAGCGGCGGTGCGCGGAGGAGGAGGCGCACGGCGCCCTCCTCGCCTCCCACGCTGCCTGCCTGGCCGCAGGCCAACTCCCCAGCGGGGCGTGCGCCTCCTGCGGGCGGCCGAGGGCCTGTCGCGCGCGCGCGCGCGCGCCGCGGTGGCAGCGCTACGCTGCCGCCCTGCGGCGCCTCCCCCGCGTGCTGGATGCTGCGCCTCTTCCGAGGAGGCGGCGGCGGCGGCACAGGCGCGGAGGTCGGGGCGCTGCCGAGGCGAAGGGCGGCGTGCGCCTCTCCGACCTGCTCGCGGAGGCCGCGCCGCGGGAGCCTGCCCTCCAGGCTCTTGGCGGCGGCGGCGCCGTGCGAAGCCTCGGCGTGGGGCCTCAGGAGCTGGCGGCGCGGGCGCCTCGGCGTGGCGGCCGAGGCCGACGGGGAGGGCCCCGCAGCTGGCGCTGCCGCGGCGGGCAGCCGCCTGGCCAACGGCTCCCAGGTGGAGGCGGCCAAGGGCCGCGGCGGCGAAGCGGCTCGGAGATGCACGCAGGGGTCTCCGTGCTCGTGCACGCGCCTGCGGCGGCGGCCGGCGCCGACGGCCAGCGCCGACGGCGACGAGAAGAAGAACGTGCAGGGCGAGGAGCACGCTGGGCCGCCTCTGGAGGCGGCGGCGCCCGCGGCCTCTCGCGCGACCTGGGCCGCTGGCATGCGGGTTCGGGTTTGTGCGGGTTCCCTGGCAGGTGCGACGGCGGTGGTTGCCAGCCTCCTGGGCGACACCAGAGTCGTGATCACCCTGGACGGCCCGGGCGACGCCTTCAGGGTACCGTGCGTTCAGCTGGAGCCGCCGCAGGGCGGCGCTGGAGCCGCAGGTCGGCGTGAGGCCCCGGTGGGGGAGCCGAGTCGGCTAGAGGCGAGAGCTCCTAGGGGAGCACGCCGCTGGGGGGGCAGGCGGCCGAGGCTC